TTCAAGAACCACCACACACAGACGTATGAAAGACATGGGTTTCTGCTGTCGCATTCCTTGTGTCAAGCCACTCTTGAACCACAGACAGCGTCAGAAGCGTCTTGCCTGGGCTAAAGAGAAACAGGACTGGACTGCTGGTGAGTGGTCCAAAGTCATGTTCTCTGATGAAAGTAAATTTTGCATTTCCTTTGGAAATCAAGGTCCCAGAGTCTGGAGGAAAAGAAGAGAGGCACTTCATCCACGTTGCTTGAAGTCCAGTGTAAAGTTTCCACAGTCAGTGATGGTTTGGGGTGCCATGTCATCTGCTGGTGTTGGTCCATTGTGTTTTCTGAGGTCCAGGGTCAACGCAGCCACATACCAGGAAGTTTTAGAGCACTTCATGCTTCCTGCAGCTGACCAACTTTTTGGAGATGCAGATTTCATTTTCCAACAGGACTTGGCACCTGCACACAGTGCCAAAGCTACCAGTACCTGGTTGAAGGACCATGGTATCCCTGTTCTTAATTGGCCAGCAAACTCTCCTGACCTTAACCCCATAGAAAATCTATGGGGTATTGTGAAGAAGAAGATGCAATACACCAGACCCAACAATTCAGAAGAGCTAAAAGCCACTATTAGAGCAACCTGGGCTATCATAACACCTGAGCAGTGCCACAGACTGATCGACTCCATGCCACGCCGCATTGCTGCAGTAATACAGGCCAAAGGAGGCCCAACTAAATACTGAGTGCTGTACATGCTCATACTTTTCATGTTCATACTTTTCAGTTGGCCAACATTTCTATAAATCCTTTGTTTTTATTGGTCTTCAGTAATATTCTAATTTTCTGATATGATGAATTTGAGATTTTCATTTGTTGTCATTTGTAATCATCAAAATTAAACAAAATAAACATCTGAAATATATGAGTTTGTATGTAATGTATGAATATAATATACAAGTTTCACTTTTTAAATGGAATTACTGAAATCAATCTACTTTTTCATGATATTCTAATTTTATGACCAGCACCTGTATTTTATATTTATAATGTCACAGCTACCAGATTTTATATATTTTATTGAGAAATTATAATAGTAGATATTTACAAAGGAAAGCATTTCTGGGAAATAGAAGGAACAAAGTTTCTTAGTTCTAAAATTGGCTTTACAAACAGTTAATATCAGAAAGTTTTTAATAACTACAGTCTAAATCTATCTAATTGAATTGTATTTTGAAAGTGTTGAGAAAATGTCAGACCACTGCTATGTTCATTGTTTCCAGCCTGACTGTGACACAACCGCAAACCTACCCTGACATAGTCGCCAACCTAACATGTTGGGCAAGGAAAGCAGATATCAAAGGAGTTATTTTTGGAGGAAATGTGTTCATAGTTTGTATACAGTTTGCCCATCTCAGGTTAGACCAAACTGATCTACATCTTCAACTACATCCAAAAGTACCAACTATGGCAGAAAACAATCACTAGGCATTAAACGTAATATGCAATGCCCATGGTAGATATAGTATGACTAACTTACTGACTTTAAGACAGAAAGCTTAGCTGGTCAGAGTTGAGCGGGAGATAGCTTGATCTAAAGACAGGAAAATCCTGAAAAAAAATATTGCTGAGACAGGGGAAGAAGTATATGAATGGATTAGCATTTGAATATGCTTTTAAACACTAAAATGTGTTGGATTACATGCATGTTTTAAATTAATTATTAAAACATGACTTCCACATGAAGAAATATTAATTTCCTTAGTCTGCCGGAGTGAAAGCAGTCAGGAGTTACCTTTTTTTTCAGATAACAAACAGGAGTTCAGCCCAGCGGCTGAGAAGTAAGCAGAAACACGCATGTTTACGCTGGTGGGACGCACTGCCAGCAGGCTCCATGGGAATGGCAATCTCACATCTAGCTTGGAGAAAGCTCCACCGTGACAGACGAGGCCAGCGAGGCTTTGAGGTTCAGCACAATCAACACAGCATGTTTTCCAGTCCCCTGAAGTTCCTAATGTATCCTCACCAATCAAAACATATCTTAGAGATCAGCGGGGAAGAGGCTGCCATACGAGGAAGGGGACAAGGAGACTTTCCTCTAAAGGTCAGTGGGTGCACACTGCACAGAAAAGTGAGACACCTAATGAGCTGTCTGCTGACTGTATATATTTCATACACAAATGAAGGGGCAGGGATGCCAAGTACATCCCTAAAGAGGCATTTGTGTGACTGTCTTATTGTGCAATGTACATAATTCTATCCCCAGAGAAGAGAATCTATGTACAAATGTTTGGCATGCATTCCCCTCCATGTTTTGCTTATATGGATCTGCCATGTGTTCCAAGCTGTTTTCTCCATCCAGTTGTTTTCAAAAGGAAAAATTACAACCAGCAAAGGGGTTGAGTGGGCCCACAGCAGACCACAAATGCGGCACTGATCTTCTTATAAGTTGGGTATAAATTTCCATGGGGGTAATTTTATTCAACAACCCTAGAATTAACATCTATTTCACAATACCATCTGTCTTTAGGAAAGAAAATAGATTTCTTGTATTGGCATTTTGGATTTTCATCAACAGTCCCAGAGTCTGTTTAGTCATATAATTGTATTTTTCCCCCATTTTTCTTTTCTTTTTTTGTCCTTTTCATGGCAGCTTTAGCATTACAGATGGGGGCTTCTGGGGCCGTGTGTCAAAGAGGAGAGGTCCATATGTGGATGAAAGCTGTTCAAGATGAACAGAAGCACAATTAATGTTTGACTAGCTTAATAGATGAATAGGAAAATACAACATCTGACCCATCAATCACAGCCATTGAAGGGGAAACACAAGCAGATGCACACTTGCTCACTTACATAATTGTGTTCGCTGCTTCTCCTCTCTGTTTTTAAATATAAAACTAAAAAAAATTTAGATATAACCTAACATTGATGTATTACCTCTTACCAACTGAAATCACTAAGTTGCATTAAGTTATCACAGAGGAGATAACTGAACATCTCCAACCAGACAGACTTTCTGCGGCCACTTTCGCCATCTAGTGGACAGAAGAGTAATATCTCCTTGCAATTTCCTCATTAACCAATTTTAACAAATACTAGTGTAAAACTTTGTGTGGAGAAATTTTGATCATAATAATAACATAATTGAGTTACATATTTCGGTTTATAAAAAGGGTTTCCTTAATATTTGTTAGGACACAGTAAAATATATTTAAATATTTTTAACCTGTTATGAACCCTTTTATCAGATAATCAAAATATATGAGAGCAACACCACAAGAGGACCCCAAATCATCATCGACTGTCTAAAACCTCATAATGACCCCCCCTTTAACAGACTTTGTGCCTCTCCACTCTTCTTCAAGACTTTGGGGCCTTGGATCCCAAACAAAGTAAAGAAGTTTTATAATAAATGGATAGTATAGTTAATGAATGTATAGATAGGTTAGAAAATGCAATTAAATTGAAAGATAAAGGGACAGTAGCAGGATTTAGTTTATTAAAGTAAGAACAAAACAAACATTTAGGATATTGCTAATAATAAATAGTAGTTATGTCAGAAAAAGACAGAGGATATTCAGTTTTTATATTTAGGATATAAAGTAAAGCAGGTAAATATATTGGCTAGAATCCTCTCATTTTGTTCCACAATCCACACCAATAGGTGGCGGTAATGCACATTTAAATAGTTTGCCAACCACAAATAAACCTCACAAAGAAGGAGGTTACGTTTTAGTCCAGTTTGTGTGTGTTTGATGTTTGTCTGTCTGTGTAACCTACAGGAGAACTGGAACATTTTTGAAGGAATTTTAATGAAATAGTTACCAAAGGTGCACCTCGATCCAAGGAACAATCCACTAAATGTTGGTGGTGATCCACATCATAATCTAGATGAATAATCTTTTAATTATTTTTTTAAATTATTTGTCATAACAGGCAGTTCCCCCTTAAACCTGAGGGTAGCAGCACTATTGACAGCTTCTGCATTGGACTCCTAAGTTCAATGCAGAAGTCTTAAAGGAATAGTACACCCAAAACATGATTAGCCTTCATTTTCTACTCACCTCCATGCTGAACAACACTCTGGAGTACTTTTTTGATATCTCAAGTGCATCTGGAGATCTGGGAGGCTTCTTGCTGTCTGCTGACATTCAAATAATGGAGGTCCATGGCGCCCGAGACAGAAAGGTCCATAAAAGTCCACAAAAACGTGTCAATATTCCTCCATACTGCTCGTCCAATGTAATCCAAGTGTCCTGAGTGGGTAGCATCCAGAATTTACTCGAAACGAAGTCATTTAGAATGTTTTTAGAGCATAAACAGTAGTGTATAGGATTTCCTAATAGCGCCCCCATGCGCGCTCACGATTCTACGGAAGCCGGCAGACCAAACCGGAAGAAAGTGCGCATTCAGCGTCTGGTCTGCCGATAATGCAAGCGTAGAAGAAGAAATGTGCTGTTTACCTGTGCAAAGAAAGAAACAACGAAAGAAAAATGTCTGAGGACTTCAGTGTTGAGGAAGAGCATGAGTTCTTTGCCGAGCTGAATGCGCTGGTTTGGTCTGCCGGCTTCCGTAGAATCGCGAGCGCGCATGGGGGCGCTATTAGGAAATCCTATACACTACTGTTTATGCTCTAAAAACATTCTAAATGACTTTGTTTCGAGTAAATTCTGGATGCTACCCACTCAGGACACTTGGATTACATTGGACGAGCAGTATGGAGGAATATTGACAAGTTTTTGTGGACTTTTATGGACCTTTCTGTCTCGGGCGCCATAGACCTCCATTATTTGAATGTCAGCAGACAGCAAGAAGCCTCCCAGATCTCCAGATGTATTTGAGATATCAAAAAAGTACTCCAGAGTTTTGTTCAGCATGGGGGTGAGTAGAAAATGAAGGCTAATCATGTTTTGGGTGTACTATTCCTTTAAAGTAACCTCACTGTCTGACAAAATGAACGTCAGCCTTTCATTAGCTGTAAGGCAATATACACATTTTTAGAAATAAAAGCTGGAAAAATTCTGTTAGGAACAAGTTTATATATTGGTTACCAAAAAGATCCCAATACACCGAGATTAATTTGTAACTATTCATCCATTTTGACACACTGCAATGCATTCCCCCCCAATTTAATATTTATTCATAAAAGTTGTTGACACGTGTTTAAATTTCTACATTAAACTATCCAACTTAAAAGGAAATGATTTCTGTAAGTGACAAACATGATAAAAAGGCATCTTTTCCCATGTATTAAGTCTATAAGAATAGATTTAACTCAATGACATGTTGCCTTTTCAACATTAAGCTTACAGAATGTGCATTCTGTTCATAGATTTTACATGACATAAACAATACTAAGCAGAAAAAATGATGCAATACATTTTTAGGAGAGAAAAGTTTCAGTCCACTGTGACGCCTTCAGGCAGCTCCACCACCACCGGAGCACAGTCATCCAAGTCGGCATCAAAATCCCAGCAAAACTTCTTGGTTAGGTGAGCTTTGAATTTCTCTGCTTTCTTACGCAGGGTGCTGTCCACACCAGGCCCAGTGGCAAACTGGAAAAAATCCTGCAAGGCATACAATGTTGAGGGATTCATTAAATGTATCTGTGAAGTTTTAGAGTGTAATTTATTCTGTTGTGTACAGTCACTGTGTTTTGTGTAAAAGCCTCACTGGGGACAGGCATTGAGAATTAGCCTTAGCTAAAATGTTGTAGTGTGTGACATGATTTTTAACTCAGATTTTTACCTGATCTAATTTTTTGACATTTTAGACTAGGTGATGTTTTAGTCTATAAAACACAAAAATACATTTTCTAAATAATAATTTCAAATAATCTAAGACATCAGAGCCCTGCCAGCTGGCTGAAATCTGCAGTAAACTACTGAATCCTGAAATTATTGGTTCTACTTGGATCTGAATCTGACTGTACAGATGAACCGTAATAAAATTTTGACTGACTGTTATTTAATTGTTATACATGTTACACAATTTGACCTGTTTATCCAAAATAATATGTTGCTAGAAAAGATCCTGATTTGTTTTTACCTGCAGAGTGCTGGTGAGGAAGTTGTTCTGTGAAACGATGTCAACGAAGAAGTCAGGGGGTACTTCACCAAGCTGGTGGTAGAGCACAGTGATGAGCCCCAGGTAGAGCTCCTTCCTCTTCCTCATGGCCTCCTCGGACCGGCAGAGCAGAGCCATGAGGCGCTTCCAATGCTCGAAGCCCTCGTACACGTTTCCAACCAAGAAACACACAAAGGCAAACTGCAGCTCACCTGGAAGGTGTCAGATAAAACAGTTATATTTAAAGAGAAATGTAAAAGAATGATCATTAGTAAAAAATAAAATAAAATAAGCATTAACATACCAAGCAGGTTGATCGGTTGGTCAGGGTAGCTCTTCTTCAGCACGGTCTCCAGGGAGTAACTCAGGTCCATGCTGCAGCGGGTGATCTCTGCAGGAGAAGCTCCAGGAGGGTAGTTCTTCTCAGGAATAACCGAGAAGCGTAACTCTGTTCCTTCCCTTTGTTTCATCTTTGGAAGCCTGTCCAGTCCCTCCCTCATGCTTTGACAGGCTGTGTCATTCCTCGGCTGCTCTGCCCGGTCTTTGGTGTGTCTTAACTGCAGCTCAGGAATGACATCGCTAAAAGCACAAACTCGGCCTGAGAGAGGCTGTAGGTTCACAGCCAGCTCCTGGCTGATCTGGTCTGTGAGGGAAACCCATTTCCTCATCACCTCATATGGATAAGGACCCAGGTAGGGATCCAGCTCTCGCAATGTGTCCCGGATCCGGTTCACCTCCTCGTCATTCTTGGAGGCTGAGAAATCCAAATCCTCCTCTTTGGGGTCCCAGTGAGCCACAAGGATCTCTTTGGACTTAAGATTGAGAAAGAGGCCTGATTTGGGACCAATCTCCCCACCACAGCTTGGAGAGTTAGCGGAACAGAAGCTGAGAAAGTGGAGACCTGGAGGTATCATCTTTACTCCCTTGAACCGAGGACCCACCTGCCAACTTTTGCAGTCAATCCCGAGCTCTGTACCCTGAGGAACACCCAGCAGGACCAGGGTAGCTCCTTCCTCAAACAGCCTCCGTGCAACATCCGGATCCATGTCTACACAGGAGTCGCTCGCCATGTCTTATTGAATGCTACACACAGGATCACTCAAAAGGTAAGGTCTGTTCTCACCTAGCATATAAGATGTTCATATCCGGAGCGTTTTGCCTCTAAACGTCAGAAACACGATAGTGTCCGGCAACTGAACTAGAAAAGGGAGTTTACCCCTTTTATATACGCATTCAAATTCTAATTGAATTAATGATAAACAATGATATATGGTTAATGAAGACCTTACCCAATATCTAAGTACTGCATAAATTACCACCTTCACGTAAGCAGATTTTTCAAAACGCAGAGCTCGTTATCGGTGATATGCGTAACACCTTCAATGTGCCGGGCGGAACCTGCATCATCGTGTTTGGGTTCCGCTTCTTCTTCTTGTTGTTGAAATTTTTATGGCGCTTGCAAAAACGTTAGGTGAGCATTACCGCCACCAACCGGTAAGGAGTGTGGACCGCATGAAAAAAAACAAACAAAAAAAAAAACTATATCCTGTTATACAATTTAATCTGTTTCAAAAACTCAAATATAATCTGATATCCTGTGCTTCTTGTTTCCTTTTGTATTAAATAAACGATGTCAAGTTTTATTTTCATATTACTAAGTTTCCTAATTAACTTGTTTCTCTGAATCAAATATTTCCTACAACTCAAAATAACATGTTCCACTGTCTCATCTTCCCCACAGTCAAATTCCCCTGTCTGATGTTTCCGTATTAAAAATAATGACCTATTCTTTCTTCCTCCCATAACTTTTGCCACCTCTCTCTTGTTTTTTGTTTAAATATACCCTTTATTTCTGTTATACTAAAACTAACATTAATATCTATCCTTACCTTATTTGTACTCTCCTTAGCCATCCTTTCAGTCATTTCATTTCCCTTACTCTCATTATAAATTTACTACTAGCCCCATCATATTTATTCTGCAAAGTGTTTGTTGTATTTCAGCTAATACATCTGGCCTACTGTGTGAATGATTATTTTGCAAACTGACTAATGACGAACTAGAATCTGAAAAAATTATAGATTTTAATGGTCTTACCTCTTCCACCCATTGAACTGCTAAAAGCAAAGCGAGCATTTCTTCTGTACACACAGAAACTCCATCACTAATCCTTTTTTCTACCTTAATTTGATACTGTGGTATAATAAATGCTATCCCTACCCTATTAGCTGTATTTTTTGATGCATCTGTATATATTTGTATATATTTATAATATTTATTTAAGTGCATTTGTACTATATGGTTATTCATAATTTCAAATTTATTTTTGTTCTTCTTTTCTAATAATGAAACATCAACTTCAGCATCAGGAAATATCCAAGGAAGTAAGGCAGTTTTGGGTTCCGCTGTCCTGTTTGGGTTGAAATAAGGTTTAAAAAAAAAAAAGAAAGCTCTTACTTTGTAAGAGCTTTCTTTTTTTATATAATTTGTAAGAAATTTGAAGGTATATTTAATTATTTAAAGTATAATATTGTCATCAGTAATAATACATATATACATTGGAAATTTTCCTTATTTTCTATACATGATTTTATTTACTGAAGAATTTAGGTGAGACATCACTGTAGTATTTAGAAGTATCTCTTATCCTGCTTCCAAGTGCATAGAGTCAGCTGAGATTTTTTTCTACAAACTGGCATAAATAAAATGTAAGTTTAGAGCATTATTTTATAACTATTATATGTGATGTATTAAGGTGCGTTTATTTTAAATCTGTCCATATAACTGGATCGAACATACTTAAAACTCCTGTATTGAGACTAATTGGTTTATCTTGTAAAGTGCCTTGAGGAAATATTTGTTGTTATGAAAATAAGCCAAATTATATCACCAGTGTTTAAAAAAAAAATTTTCTCTAACATTTCAATTGCCTTTGTAAAATGTTTTTTTTACCAATTTGATTTTATTCCAATATTTCTCCACAATACTGTCATTGTTTTGGATGCTTTTAATTTTTTATCTTCCAAAAAGCCAGCTAATATTTGGAAAGTGGTACTTATATGCAAATTAAAGTAGTTTGGTGCAGTTTATTATTTCTAAGAGGTTAGATTGAGATGTGCAAAGCTTGTTGTTTGATAATCTAACATACATACATACATACATCCATCCATCCATCCATCCATCCATCCATCCATCCATCCATCCATCCATCCATCCATCCATCCATCCATCAGGGTCGAGGTGGGGCGGTTCCTGTCTCCAGCAGTCTATGGGCGAGAAACCGGGTACACCCAGTCTGTCGCAGGGAAACACAAAGACATAAAACCATGCACACACACCTAATTACAATTTAGAGATGTAAATTAACCTAACAGTCATGTTATTGGACTGCCGGGTACCCAGAGAGAACCCACACATGCACTGGGAGAATGGAGAGAACTTTTCTTCCTGCAAGGCAGCAGTGCTACAAACTCCACCAGCCCATTGATAATCTAACACTGCTTAAAAATGTTAATCTTTAAAACAAATCTATTTGCATTTATCATTTTTATTATGTGGTATAAAGATTTCATGGTTATTTTTAAAGATTACAAACAAGAAACATACATGTAAATGTTGTTACATAAAGAGAGACTTTGAAAATGTGCATATTGTTAAAGTATTTGAACGCACCGTGGATACATTTAGCTTATCTTTGGTTACCATGAAACTAACATATATCAAAGAGCAGTACTGTATACAGAAAGTAGGATGATTTGATACATAAAACACTGAGAACTTAACAGTAAACATTCATAGTATTGCATTAAAAAAGATCTGTGCATAAAAAATAGGTTATTCGGTTTTATAGCGGCGCGGTGAACATTCTTGTAAGTCAACTGGTATCTTCATGAAATGGTGGCACAGTTTGTCCTAATTAGAGAGAGTATGGACACTCTGAAGTTTTTCCCAACAAGTTATCATCAGTTTTATAACTCTGATAAACCTCAATCTCTTCTTTTTTCGTTTTATTTTTCTGACAGCTGAACACGAAGTTTTGTTTGCCTAAAAAAAGCACAGGAACATACAGGAGATTTATTTCAATTACCTTTAAATCAGTGACAGATGATTTTAAAAAGCTTCCCTAGAACTGGTGTTGGTCTTTTACCATGAATGTAGGACTGCAGTTTTGAATGATGAGCTGCTCCATGCTCCCAACTGGCTTTTCCAGGTCAGGCTGATTGCCACCCCTCTGACACAGAATCTGCTGTGTCATATTATAGATGGACATCAGTATGCTACGTGCCTGTTGCATGGAAGCCCATCAACAAAACAATGGGAGACATTTGAATTAGTGCATTATTACAAGTTGGAGCTGCACAACATTAGATCTTTGGATAAATGTTTTTTGATTTGTTAACATGAGAACTGCATGACAAAAAAGGGCAGAATGTTTACCGTCCATGGTGCTGAAAGCACCTGTGAAGGACTATGATGAAAACACAACAAACCCAAGAAATCAGAGCATCTTACTATACACAATTCTGCAGAAAAATTTTCAAGCAAAAAAGTGAGTGAACAAGAATTAAATTATTAATTTTAGCTAGACTAATACATTTTTAAAGTACACTATGAATATTTAATTTTACTGCCTTATTTAATCAATATATCATCTTTTTTTATACAGAACAAGTTAAACTAAAGTAAACTATTTTAAAGCTAAAACACATATCCCTCACCCAAATAACAAAATAAAAAAAATAAAAAATAAAACTTCCTTCATGCTAACAAACATGTACTGTAGGAGAACAATAAACACCTAAATCAACTATTAGGAAGCAGCAGAGGAGCCCTTCACTCTTTATATGGAACTCAGTGAAAGACTCTAAATATCTAAATTAAATCATTTTCTCTTAAATAGGTGCATTTTCTTTCTTGAATTGAGCAGGAAAGTGAGACATTTTGCAAATGGAATAAGAAAATTTATATTTAAAATAAGGAAAAAGTGCAGTCTCCTATTTCAAGTGCATAATATCAAATAATCTGATTTTAAGGATAAAAATGCTCCTTCCACTGGGAGATTTTCTTATGTACCTACTCAAATTAAGGGTAAATACACTTATTTTAAGACATTTTCACAAATTTTTAGATAATTTTTGTAGTGTGTTGTTGAAATCCAGGACAAGACCTTATTGTCTTTGTAATATTCAAGATATTTTGATGGCACAAATGAATGTCAATGTAATAACAAGAAGCACCAACTTGCCTGAATATATTAAGAAAAATAATAAAAGTGCTTCTATAAGAAATTCATGAAAAAAACTCTGAGAGTGAAAGAAACACATTTTCTTTAGGTACAACATAACCTTAGAGGCTCATTAACCCTTTAGCTTTACTTTCTAACTTTTCAAATAGCTTTTTACCTTTTTTCTTGACTTGTTACTCTGTTTTCCAACTGAATTTACAGTAGGTAATATATCATTCAAGGGCTCATCTAATTGGTCGAATGCCAAAATATAATGTATAGCCATGTAGCAGTATCTGTGCTGAATGGTTGGATATAGATCATGTGCTTCTAGACCTTGCATCCTTTTTTAAGGGGTATGCAAGTGATCAAAAAAAGTAACTTGCCCTATAAACGGTTAAAGTGTAGACCTTATGATTATGTCATTCATACTATTAAATCAAATAAATTCATAATGACAATAAGAGTAAATATAGAGTAAGGTAAAAAAAAAATGCAAAAATAAAGCATTCTAAGAATCCAACTAGACGCTAAATTAAGATTTTTCCATTTTGCTTTCAATTATTTCTTTAAGAAATGGAAGACGAATAATTAAAAATACTTAAACAAGCTCCACAATCAAACGTTTAGTTGTTTTACTTTCTCAGGTGTTATATAGTCCTTGCTTGGTGTGGTGCTACTTACTTTTCCTGAGGGACAAGGGACTGTCTCTTTGAATGTAGTGGCTGAGTCAGTCAGATTCTGGGGGATTCATCAAAATTAGTTATCCAAACAGTTCAAGTGTATCAAGTTTGATGTAAAAAAAAAAAAAAAAATCCCAAGCTCTACTTTTAGATCAAACACTGGAGGGCAGCCTATCATTAAAAATTTAACATGGACTCTTGCAGTATATGGCAGCTAAAAGTAAAAATAAAATAAAAAAGCAAACCATGTGAAAAATGATCATACCAGATTTTGCAGATCAATGAAGATGACATCTCGGTAGGTGTCCAGTATTTCTTTATAGTTACATCTACGTTTACCACAGCAGTTGGCCAAAACAAGAACCACCAGGATACTACGGAGCAAAGATCCGGTCAGACACTGAAAGAAAAGAGGAAGGGTTGTAAAAAAGAACAAAAAACAACCATCAAATAGAATAAAATTGTTATTGTTTAGATAAAGTGTGAGGATAAAAATGCAGCT